GAGTATCCCAAGAGCTAGAGGAGAACATAACCTGTCCCTCAGCCCCTGGCTGTAGGGCAAACATTTTCCACCCCCTCCATGCTCATGGCTGCCCTTTCACACCCAGGAGCTGGAACTGAAGCATGAGCAGCACCAGAAAATCCTGCGCATCAAAACAGAGGAAATTGCAGCTTTCCAGAGAAAGCGGCGGAGTGGCAGCAATGGTTCCGTGATCAGCCTGGAACAGCAGCAGGTAGGGACAGACTCAGCCTGCCTCCTCTTTCCTGTTCAGAGGGGATGCTTGGCAGGCTGCAGGCTGACAGGGGAGATCCAGAAGCAGGGACCTCAGGCCATCCTGCCCTTGAGGAAGACAGTCCATAATGTCACCTGCATCTAGTAGCAGAGGACTTGGATCTTGTCCCACCCCCAGGACTAAGATCTCTTATAAATCCTAGCATTCATAAAGAAGCTGTGAAAACGTGTCTGTTAGCAGAAGAGTGATGGGAGATGTGGCCCCCAAGAATTCCTTGGCAGCTGGGGATTTACCTTAGCTGTGCCTCTTGGAGGAGCTGGAAGGATAAAGCCAGCGAAATCTGGGCTGTAGGGGTTAGCAGAGATGGAATTGAGACTCTTGTTCTGATCTCAGCCCCACTGCTCTTTAGTCCAGCATTCCTAGGCATTGGTACTGCTGTCTACACACATAGACATTCCTTTTGCCTCTCCCTCCATCAGAAAATTGAGGAACAGAAGAAGTGGCTGGATATGGAGATGGATAAAGTTCTTGAGCAGCGCCGGGCTCTGGATGAGCTGGAAGATGAGCTGAGCAAACGGGAAGCTATTGTAGCCAAAAAAGAAGCTCTGCTGCAGGAGAAGAATGGCCTGGAGAGCAAACGACTGCGCTCCAGCCAGGTAGGACAAGAATGTGATACCTCAACCCTTTGCTTCATTTCCAGCAGAGGTGGAGGCTGGAAGACCTCAGTGCCATCATGGGTCTGGGAGAGGGCTGGAGGCCAGGATGAGGTGGTGCTGGGAAGTGGGTGGGAAATGCACCTGTATGGAAGAGTCTGGTTATGTTGTGCCTATGAATGAGTTGGTTTGGTAGCCCTTGGCTTATGTCTGCCTGCGGGGTCACTTAACCCATGAAGGGAGTAGAAAGGGTCTGAGGACCTGACGTGCCTTTAGAACAGATCCCCTTGAGCATCTTATGCTGCAGGCCCTGACAGATGACATAGTGCGCGTGTCCAGCCGCCTGGAGCACCTGGAAAAGGAGCTGACTGAGAAGAACGGGCAGCTGCGTCACGGCAGTGCCCACGATCAGCAGCAGATCCGCCAGGAGATCAACAGCCTGCGCCAGGAGAAGGACCAGCTGCTCAAACAGAGACTGGAGCTTGACAACAAGCTGCGTCACGGCACCCTGCTGTCCCCAGAGGTACCTCTGCTCGGGCTGGGCTGCTTTGGGAGAGACGTAAAGACCTGAACATGGAGTCGTTAGCAGATGCTCCCCCACATCCCCAAACTGTGCGATCCCAACTTCTTGCCAGCACTATTGAGATGACAAGGGAGGTTAGGGCAGGGTGAGACAGAGGGAACCCTTTGCTCCCTAGTAACTGCAGCTCTGCCCTGGCAGGAAGAACGGATCTTGTTCCAGCTGGATGAGGCAATTGAGGCTCTGGATGCAGCAATCGAGTACAAGAATGAGTCCATCACATGCAGGCAACGAGTCCTGCGGGCCTCAGCCAGCCTGCTGTCCCAGTGTGAAATGAACCTCATGGCCAAGCTCAGCTACCTCTCCTCCTCTGAGACCCGAGCTCTGCTCTGCAAGTACTTCGACAAGGTGGGACACAACTGCCGTTTGTGCTGGTGGGAGCTGTAGTTCATAAACTGGCTATTGGTGGTGTAATTATTAGCCAGCCAGAACATACAATTAATATAGCTTGAAAGCAACTGTTAACAGAAATGATGATCTGACCAAACTCTTGTTTTCCTCAGTTTCAAGCTTTCTCCCTGCCTCTTACTGTACTTTTCCTCTTTAAAGTCAGGCCACAAAGCCACAGCAGCATGACCCCCACCTGGGAGAGGGACTTAATTAGTCATAGGATGCATGGATTCCTGCAGTGGCTCTGGCATATCAGTGCAGCCAGACATTGCTCTTCCCTCCACGAGACAGCTCTGACATCCCAGCACTACTAACCTTTGTAAGCTGTACCAAAAAACTAACTTGACTGGGGCTCAGTGGGGCAGGAAATCTTCCCAGATACTGAGGGAGCTGAAATATTCCTTGCTCTTGGGCCCTGGTCAGGTGGTGACACTGCGAGAGGACCAGCACAGGCAGCACATTGCCTTCTCGGAGCTGGAGATGCAGCTGGAGGAGCAGCAGCAGATGGTGTACTGGCTGGAGGCGGCCGTGGAACGGCAGCGCCTGGAGATGGATCGCCAGCTCACCCTGCAGCAGAAGGAGCACGAGCAGAACATGCAGTTACTGCTGCAGCAGAGCCGTGGTAACTCCCCACAGTTCCCAGATGGGCAGCAGAGCCAACTGCTTTTGTCTTTCACAGGGCTTTCAGGCTGAAATGGCCTTGTTTGTTCTTGCAGAGCACATGGACGAGGGGCTGGCCAGCAGCAAGCTGCAGTATGAGACAAGGATTCAGGTGCTGGAAAAGGAGCTGAGCCGTTATATGTGGTCAAACCAGGAGCTGAACCAGAGGCTGAGTAACATGAACCTCCATCCTGGACAGACCAAAGGTGAGAGGAAACCCAGGCTGGGGCTTTGTTGTTTCTGCCAAGTTAAAAGGGAGTTTCAGTTCTTGTCCCTGCTGGTGAGAGCTTGGAGCAGTCAGGAGCAGTGTGGGTGAAGGTCTTTCAGCAAGTGCTCTGCAGACACTAATGTTGATGAAAAGAGCAGAGATGCTGATATTCATCTCACTGTACGCCCAATCCTTCCCAGCAGGGATGGAGAGAAGCATTCATGGGGCTGGAGAGAGAGCTGCCCCTGCACTTGTGGCCTGTGAGGGATCCAGCCCTGGAGAACAGCCTGTGGCTCTGGCTGTCACTGAGGAGAGCCATCGAGTCAGGGATGAGAGCAGGGACCTGGTACACGCCCCTTTGCCTTCGACGTGGAGACGTTCCTCCCTGCCCAACGACAGCCCTGGGGACCTTCGGCAGAGGGATGTGGAGCCCTCGCTGCGAGTGGGACAGCCCCATGAGCTGCACCCACCACGGAGCCTCCCTCCTGCTGCCAAACCACGCCGGGAGCTGCGCAGAGCCAGCCTGAACCTCAGCCCAGTGCCTTACCCCCCAGCCATGATAGATGTGAGGAAAAACCCACTCTAGACAGACCTAATGCTCACCTGGCACAGGGCAAGGAGGAGCAGGGGCTGCTGATGTGAGCTTGAGAGCCATTCTGCCCCACAAGCCAGCCTGGCTACAACCCTGGTACATTTCAGAGGCCTGAGGAAGAGAAAGATGTGACCCTGCCATCATGAGGGAAGTAAGCACATAAGGTGTGGGAGCACCAGCCTATGTTCTCTGTGTTGCTCAGTCCAGGCAGCACTGACAAGACACTTTTCCTCTGGCCCCTCAGTGGCTTAAACACTGTGAAGCAGGAGACACCTTCCACGCTGGCCTCTAACACTAAAAACCTGTTTACAGTTTGGAAACCTCTGTTGCAGGGCTTGCTCAGCCCTGGCAGCCTCAGAGGGAGATGCTCTGCAGTCCTGCAGGATTTGTACACAGATTATTTTGTAGTAACGATTTTTTTACATTTCTACTATAACTTTTCTAATAAAGCAGAGTGAGTTTTATGAAGCAGTTACTTGTCAGTGTGTCTTCTGGTCACTTTCTCCGGTTACACACATAGGAAAGGAGTTTTATTTAAATCTCACTGCATGGGAATTTAGCTACTGTCAGTGTTGCCTTAATGCTTAAATACCTGTTTTGTAGCACTTTCAGTGCTCTGTCCAGAGCTGGCAGGCTTCCTATATTAAGCTGCCACAGGAAAAGCATCTCCATCTAGCAGCAGCATTGTCTGAAATGTCCAGGATAAAAGTAACTCTGGCTCTGTGTTTCCAATGCAGCCTATAAAGCTAGCTTAACCAGTGTTTTCTTATTCTTGGGAGAACTTCCAGTCTGGAGGTAAGGGAGACTAAATACAATCCTGCACCTTAACACTGACTCCTCAGAAAGGGGAACCTAAGTTTAATTTTAGCAGAGCAATAAATGAAAGCCCAGATACCAGCTTTAAGGAGGGGAGGAAGGGGGAGTGAAGGGCAGCTTGGCCGCCTGACCCCAAAAAGCAAGCCACAGCCTGAAATCATGAGCACAGCTACCACTTGAGAAACACAAGTGAAAAGCCAGCATCTGATGTAGGAACCACTGTCTGATCTTCATCCTCCATCCCTGACTTTTGCCTGTAGTGGTGTGGCTGTGAGGGGGAACCTTACTGAGGGCTCTGGGTGTAGCTGAGCTGCATAAGATTTATGTTAGGAGACTTTATTTTTCTGCCATTGAAAACAAAGATCTTCTCATCAGAGTTAATCTGCTTGCTCTTTTCCCACTAAGTTTTGGCAAACTGGTGGCACTGGCAGGGCTCCAGTTTGTATGAGGACAAGATACACAGCTGGGAGACATAGTAGCTTGTTTTGTACCTATTCACCTCCAGTATCCTTCCTGCACCCTCGTCCCTCAGGCTGAAGACAGATTTTGGATTAAAGGACACAATGAAAATTAACATCAGTTTATTTTACAAGAAAGTTGTAGTAAAGTGGCAATTCTCCCTCTTAACACCTAGAACTGAACCTTCACTGCAGAACTCACAAATGAACGGTTGGAGAGATGCTCCAAGTGATGTTAAAAAACCCACAAACTTTTAGAGTGGTCCTTATTTCTACTGCCATGTGCTTGCACCCAGTCTCCTACCAACACAAGACAGCTCCAATCCAGCACCAAATATGAGGTCCTTGTTAAAAGGTGTGTTGTAGAGCTGGGATAATGCAAAGTTTCCTATGCTGTCCTGGCTCCAGACGTCAGCTGAGCAGCTTTTTCCGTGAGTAAATCCTGCTAAGGGGACGCCTCCTGGACACCATGATGGGGCATGGAGACAGCTCCTGGCTGGCAGTAATTTGCACTGCCTCGGATTCCTCTTCTACAAAAACAAAAGAATACATGGAAGCCACAGTTCACCAAAGTTCAAAGAAGCCAAATACGAATGGAGACAACAAGCCCGTAAACTGCTCTTCCCACCTAGCTACCCTCTCCTCATTGCCACCTCTCCTCCCTTCCAAACTCCCCCATTCATGCCAAGTTTCTTTCAATCCTGTGAGATGGAGACACTGAATTCAGAAGCAGCAGATACAGCCACAGGTTTTCTGCCCAAAGCCCAATCCTCAGCACAGCATGACTTTGTTCTCATTGCAGGCAGGCAGAGAGCACACCTAGTCTGCTCGAGCCCTGTCCTCACTGCAGGTGTTTACCTTGAACACGCTTTCTTTGGGACGGCAATGGAGACAGCAGTGGAGACTGGGTCAGGGCTAGCAGGCTGCTGGCAGAGAGTGTGCTCTTCAGGGGTGGAGTTGAGCCTGGGGAAGCAGAGTGAGATGTTGCAGCACACTGACAACTCAAGTGCTTGCAGTAAGTCTCATACACAGACATTATGCTACCTCGAAGCAGCCATCAGTGCAAGTGACGCCTTGAGTTTATCTGAAACAAAGTCTAGGCTGGCACAGTGGTACCAAGAAAGGCAAATGCCAGTGTGGAATTAGCTCTTAGTACACCTAATTTTCTTACATGATGACCTGTAAATACAAACACAAGGTCTGTAGGTACAGAAAGTCTCTTACAGGACTATTTTAAGGCTAAACACTGCTATTGTTTCATGTCCTGAATATGCACTAATACTGCTTTGAAGTTTGCCCATTTTTCTCTGTAACACCCACGGAATAAGACTGGCTCTGTATACAAACCATTCCTTGCAAGAGAAAACAGACACCAAAGCTTAATGCAATGACTATAGGAAAACATCTGCCATAGTCCCCTGTAAGGTGTAATTTCTGCAACAATACAGGATTAAGTATTTGAAATTCATGAGGCCTTGCTCATGAAACAGAGCTGACACAGTCTGTTCCACCAAGGTCAGCTGAGTCATCTGTACCCACAGCAAAAGCAAAGAGGCAGCTTAAACTTATACACATACTGATACAACACTATTGCTAGCAAGGGAGCCACTTCTGATGTCCATTTGCAATGGCTTCAGAGCTGGACACAAGGCAGAAACAGCTAGAGACATCAGTGCAAACCCAAATAAATCACCAGCTGGATGGAATTGGGATCCTCACTCACCAAGTTCTCAAACTTTGCTTTTAATTCCTTCAGCCTCCTGCTTTTTCATATTTCTCTGATTTTCTCCCATCATTAATATGCTATTGATAAACTCATGTCCAACCTGCCTCTCCACATAATTAACTTCCATGTCATTTACAAGCCACTCTCCCTTCCACCTCATTCTTCTTCAGATAATTACACAGAAAACAATTGTGTTCTTGTTTCTGTCTAATCCTCATTTTTAACCGCTTCTGAATTTCAGTAGAGTGTCTTTCATACCAGTTAATTACCTGACAAAAGGAAGACATCGTCATCCCCTGGGCAACTGTGCTGCTCAAGCGTTTTGAGTGCACACACTCCTGGTTTCTCAGGAAGTACAGAGTCTGTCCATGATTTGGCTCTGATGCCCTCATCTGTGGACGAGCCAGTGAGATCCGAGTTGCAACTCTCAGTGCATGATCTCTTGGCATTGCGATTCTCCTCCCTTTCTGGGGACAGATATGTAAAGACTCGCTTCCGAGATTTCAAGCCAAAAGTTCCTATGGCAGAGTCCTCATCAGCCTTGGGTTCAAAGTCACTAGGAGACACCTGATCCTGGAGCCTGCAAATCCCTTCCAGTTCAAATTCCCCAAATGTATTCATTACTTTGCTGCTACAATGGTCTGAGATCCTCATTGATGTTTCTTTGCCCGTTGACATCCACGTTCGTTCCTCAGCATTCCTCTCACTCTGAGAGCAGCTCGTGTTGGCAGTGCTGCCTGCTGCTTTCTTTCTCCGAGGCCAGTCATTGATGGCATCAGGGGTAGTCTTCCCCTTCTGCTTTGGAGAAGGTGTCCTGAGAGCTCCTGCTTCCAGGGGGAATGGGGAGGTGACGTTCGAGGCACATCTTGTTGGGGTGTATGACTGGCATATGTAGGTCTGTCCTGCACCTTTCCCAGGTGTACTGTGGAAAGAACGACAGCAGGAGGGTGAAACACAGGCAACTGCTAGTTTTCCTGGGTGTTTGCTACACCAGGTCATAGCAAGGTCACCAAAGGGGCTTTCTCCTCCCTTAGGTTTGCTGGCACTTCCTTCAGGCTGAACTTCCAACGACGAGCCAGAGCCAACTTTCTTAATGCGGAGTTTGGGCAGGCCGGAAGCTTGCATTTCAATTTCCACTGCGTACGTCGGGGGGGCAGCAGAAGGCAGTTTGCAACGACTTTTAGTAGAGAGCTTAGCTACAAGCTGAGGGTTTCCCATCCGTGCTTCAGCCTCCCGCTGCCTCCTGTCTACAGTGCAGCGTAGGGAATAGGCAGGAGCAGACTTTGGCATAGGAGGCAAAGTATTCAGGGCAGATCTGGAGTGTCTCTTAAGACTTGGAGCCTCTGGCCCCACATATCCTTCCCTCAGCAGAGTTCTTGGCTCTGAGTCATCACTAACTGTTTGAAAATCACTTAGGAAGGAATCACACGTGTTTGCACTGGAGTTTCCCTCCTTAGCCAAAAGCTCACAGTCTATCTCAGCATTCTGTGCATGTACCTGCCCTCCAGCAAAAGGCTCTGGAGACAAATGCTTTCCCAAGTTTTCAGAGTCCTCGCTTGGAGAAGACTTCTGAGACACTACATCCATGTGTTTATTTTTCTCCAATACAGGGGTATTTTCAGTAACTTGGGACTGACAAAGCTGAAGGCTTTCCCCAGAATAGTTACCACCATCATGATGATTGTCCTTATTTTCAGATGGTGCTGCACATGCAAGTGTGAGGTTCTCTCCTCCAGAAGCTGGTTCACGTTTTGTCTGATTGGATGCATGAAGCAGGGGGCTCAGTGAGGTGCCAGTAATACCTGGAGACTTTTGAGGAGATGGTTTAGATGCACTGAGTTCCCAGTCAGACTCCCCAGCCGGCGCAGGGGTAGGAAAGCAGATTGCCTCAGTGTTCATGGAACTTCCATGGAGTAGAGAATTCAAGAGAGGCTCTGGTCTCACAGCAAGCTGAGGTATTTCTGTCCTCAGTGGGCTGGTACATAAATTTGAACCTGGATCTTCAGGTTTCCTGGGAGTCCTTTTAGTTGCTTGAGATAATGGATCTAATTGCACCTGAATTTCTTTTGTGAGGATTTGCCTCCGAGCACCAACCGGAGATTTTGAGAGGTATCGCAAGGAACGTCTTGGAGTTCGAAGTTCTGTAAAACACCTTTCTTGGATGGCAGGGGGAGAAGAAGCAGCTGAATTTGAATCTTTTGGAGGTAATAATGAGGCATTGAGTGGCATGAAGCCTTCATGTTCTGGTGATTGTAAGCCAGCCTCTTGGCAAGGAGGGAAAAGTCTTTGTGCTGCAGAACAGTCCTCAGAAGTTACTTGCAGTAAGTGAACCCTCTTCCTTTCACTTAACGCAGATGGCGACTTGACCCTTTGTGCAGGATTAGAAAAGTACTTTCCCAAACACTTAGCTACAGTCTGCTTAGCTGCTGGACTTTTGCCAGGAGTCCTCTCCAGCTTCTGTGGTGTCCTGTGGAGAATGCGAGGCGATCTCCTTGGCAGCTTACTCGCAGAATTTGGTGGCTTCTGGGTAAATTTACAAGGTGTTTTTCTAGGAGTCTGCAGGGGAAAAAAAATAAAGAATCATGCTCGTTCTATTCCAGCAGTATCATCTACCCACCTTGATATTTACTTCTCAAGACTTCAAAAAAAAAGTCTGATCGGACATAACAGAAACATCTGATTAAACATGAATAGCAAAAGAGGATGGGAAGAAAGAGAGAGGTAATTGTTTCTACCTGACAGGCAGTCAGCTCCTCTAAGTGTAAGGAATCTTTTCTCATTCTCCTCCTTCCAGGTGAATGTTTCTCTGCAGGACTACATGTGTCAATGACTGCACCAAAGAAAAACCTCTTGGGAGTCTGGACAGAAGAACTCTCTGAGTGCTGCTTAAGGCCTATAAAGTTGAACAGTACAATTCAACTAACACCAAGTAATGTGTCACAAACAATTGTCTGAATCACTTTGGACATGCATAAAAGTAATGCACAAAGACTATAGCCCTGTCATGTTCTTTTCCAGCCAAAAGTTAAAGCTTCACCAGAATTATTGTTATTTCCCAATTTGAAACTAATATCCATCTGTACTAAGAGTGTTCCAATGGAAAAAAGAAACAGGTACAAAGTATCTCAGCCTCTTCTTCTATTTATAGCCTGTAGCTTTAGAAAGTTCTGGTTCATGACTAAGGATTCTAGTAAGTACAAAATAAAGAACTAAATGTCACCATTTTTAGCTGATAATCCTACTGAGAAAGCCAGCAAAGAAGATCCCATCAGTCACTGCTTTATACTGCCACAGAGCAGACTGAAAGTAAGCTTTAGGATTTCTGTCCCATATTTTACAGGGATTTCACTGCATTTAAGGAATGCAGACTGACAATCAGTGGTATTCTGTTAGATGGGCCTGACTGGTTTCTTAAGTTGGCAGTGAATTCATCATAGAAATAGCTGCCTTACCATCCTCCAAATTCAGATTCCCAATTAAAAAATAATTACTGGGGATGAATTTCTGTCTACAGAAGATATTACATGACAGCTCTTAGCTTCTTACAGTCTCTTGTAGAGCCAAATCAAATCAAACTCAGAGCTATCCATGCAAGCTTTTCAGATCAGCACTATCAGTCTGCTCAAATCCCACTCAGTACCTTCTACATCCTGCAGTGTACTGCTCTCCTCTTGTCCCTGGTGGATGTGCTGCGAATTTTTTGAGCTGGGCTGTGCAGTGGAATAGAAAGTACCAGAGCAGGTCCTATTCAAAGACAGCTGTTTGATGCGTGGGCTTCTCCTCAAACCTGCTTCTGAAAGGGAAAGACATTGGAGATTGAGCCTTTTTTCTCCCTCGGCAATGGGCACAGTGTGTAACTGAAAAGAACATACTCTAAGAAGAAACTTCCCTACAGCTAACTACCTCATGCAGGGAGGCAAGTGTGTGAAGAAGAAAGCTTCAGCGTTCTCCAGGATTTGGAACAGTTATGCACACAAATCTCCTTCTAAATCATGATGCCTCCTCCTCTAAGGCATGATTACTCTCATTCCTCTCTAGCAATTACATGGAAAGGAATGCTAGAAAAGTCATGTTACATCCAGGTTAACAGACTGGTGAATTCTCCTGTCTCTTTTTGCTAGTGATTTCATCTTCCTGCTTGCCCAGCCATGCTGCTTTCTTCTTCCTTCCTGGGAATAAGGAACAGCAGTAGCCAACATAAGAGACACTCCACAGAGCCAGGTGGCTGTCTGTTACAGCAGAAATCAGAGCAGTGTTAGGGTCACAGAACAACATGGTGAAGTTACATTTCAAAAAAAACAGCATGTGCTGGTTTGACAGTAATTATAGCAGCTCAGAATCTTGTTCACCCTCAAAGTCCTTCCTGTATTTTCATTTAAAAGAGTTACTAGCTCCCTCTTTTTTTAGTTTCTCCTATTCAGGGCTGTTAAAGCAGTGAGCAGCAAGTGGTTCTGTCAGAGGCAGTTGTGCTCTACCACCAGACTAGTACAGCATTTTGTACTGACTGCTGCTGAATTACCTAAACTGGAACATGCTCATCTTATGACCTACACCACAGCCAAACCACCTTGAGTCAAAAATTAGTGCTTACCACTTATGGCCTTTTCTGGAGATTCCTCTACCACACCAGTGTCACAACCTGGATCAGAAGACCTTGAGGAACAGACATTTCGCACTTAGCATACTGAGCACATTTACCAGACCAGAACTTACCATACAGACTGAAAAGCAGTACTCTATTCTACAATACATTGCTTTTGGGGCCTCCTCTAGTTAGTAAGCACTATGCCTCATTTTAACACATGATTGAGTGCAGGTAACTCCCTAGCTGTACAGGTAGCAGTTCTACATGGAATTCCATGCTAGAATTCAGCCTGAAGCCCACAAAATACAGCACAGGCCTTTTCTTCACAAGCTTTTGGAATCAGCAACTGAACCTAAGCAGACATTAGCTGCAGGAATTACAGCACTCTTACATGATGAAGCAAGCAGTATTTCTCCCCACTTAAGCAATGGAATTTAGCCTTCACTGGTTCTCTTACTGCCTAAGTGAGGATGACACTTTGACAACAAAGACCTTGGTACTTGTGCTCGTAGCCATTAATTAGGCATCCAATTCTTTCTGAAGAATTTCAGAAAGAACTTACTCACCTGCCTTTGATCTGCTTATGGAGGAGTCTCCTGGGGACCTGTTTATGTAATGGTGTTTCTGCAACTCTCTTGGTCAATAACTTGCGATGATCTAAAATTCAAGCAAGAGCTGTAACATCACACATTTAAAAAGTACTTAGGACAAGTAAATAAATATAGTTTTGTTTAGGCTGCAGCTTAAGAATGACAGTCAGTATATAGAATCACTGTGCATCAGTCTCCCAGCACTCACGAGCTACCATCATTTCAGAGTCCAGTGTCTACACCTCCTTCCCACTCACTCAATTTTATTGATAGTACCATGTCAGACATAGTTAAGCTACTGAGATAACTTTCATTCTTCATCTTATCTTTCACAGGTTCTTTTCTAACCAAGGATTTTTAACATTAGTTTTCTTTATGAGATGCAGAGTTCAGTAAAAAATAGATTTGTTTCTCTGCCATCACATTCACCCTCCAAACACCTTCACAATGACCTCCTTTTCTCCTTCATCAAAAACAGATCATAATTGTTTATAGAACTGAAGATGCAAGAATAGGACAGCTCTTCCACTACAATCCTACATGTACAACTCATGTCCTACCTTTGGTGCCTTCATCAGTACGTTTGTATTTTAAGCCTTCCACAGCAGATACTGACTGGCTTCTAGGCATCTTTTTCAGAGACCTTTTTGATGGTGAAAGTATCTCTTCATTGAAGAGGTTCCTCCTTACCTTTGTAACCTCTGTGAGGCAAGGAAAGCAAGAAATTATCAGATTAAAAGGGAAAACAGGGGAAAAAAAAGTAAAAATCAGAGGAATGTAATTTTGTCAGGCCACTAGAGATGAGAACAATATAGCAGCATGGAAAAAACAACTTTTCAGAGGTCACAAAGCATTGAGAAGTTATTTTTCTCCTACCAGAACATGTCCTCCTCTAAATCCATCCTGGACTTCTCTTATAAATTTGTATTAATTGAATTATTCCAGTAGTAAGCTCCAAGCAGGTCCCACAACAGAAAAAGCAGCCAGTGAGTGTCCCAAGTGGAGCAACATGTGCCAGAAAATCTCAATCAAAGCACATGTTGGTTCAGAGAACACACCTGGGATGTATTTTTATTACCTATTTTCTGGAGAGCTATCCTGTTTCCCAGTATAGGGGAATATAGTTCACTCTTGTCCTCATTTTCTTTTCAGGACAGAGAAGATGGAAATAATTTGAAGATTCAAGGAAGACTGGAAAGATTTACTTTTGAGGATAGAAGATTTACTCTTTCTGCACGTGAGCACAGAATACAGTGACTACTTTTGCCTCAAAGATTTTGCAGAATTCAGCAAAATTTCCTTCAGCATGTCTCAGCATCATTCTACCATGGATCACTAAAGTTTACAGGGAGAACACATACTGAAAAAGGTCAAAGTCAATATACCTTGCACTGCTTCTTTCTGCAACAAAGGCTTCTGCTGGCCCTTCTCAGCGGCAAGGTAAGAAAGGGAGCTCTCCTGAAACAAACAAGTAATTAGCCTCACCAGCAGGTTAATGTTAGGTTTAATTATGAGCATGAACTGTAACCTCTGAACTACATATTGTTTCAATTTCTCCTTCCAAGCAATTTTATCTCTGTACAGCTAATACAGGGCACACTTACTAAGGGAATACAGAGCAAGAGGTTTTGCACTCAAGTGTCCCTTCCCAGCATCTCTCCACCCACACACAATCCTTTTGGAAGAGTTTTACCTTTCTGATGGGATTCTTGGCTGCCTTGGGAATCTCAATTTGACGCAAGTTCTGTGGTGCTTCTGTCATGCTCCTGTGTCTGGCTAATACATTATTCCTTTAGAAAGCACAGAAAGATTAAGTTAAAATAAGATCAGAAGCACAGTTATCAACTGACTGACAACTAAACTTTGGTTTGCCTCTAGTGATGGGAAGTGTTTACCTACCTTCAGGCTGAAAACTGCATTGGTACCTCACATATTACAACACTGAAAGATGATTTGCAATATAAATAGGTATTCCTAACTTTAAGGTTGGTATTAGAACTCATACACAGTTTGCTAAAACACACAAAGGACCCCCAGCACAGAGATCTGCAGTAAATCACTTTTAACTTTAACAAAACAGGGTCATCGCCTGCACAGCAAAACATCCTTTTCCTCGCATGGAAGATGCTCATGAACACTACTTTTGCATAAGATACAAATACAGAATCAAGATTACACTTTCCTTTGTCAACAATGGCAAGTTAAAGCACAAAATGAGAGCCCTTAATACTTCTCTCAGGCCTGCTGAGCTATCAGGTGTCAGCTGGCCCCAACAAGCTATGCAGCAACAGAAACAAAGATGACTGAGCTGTAGTTCACACAACTCCTCAACCACAGCCCAGGCTGCAGCAAAAAGCTGCCTCCTGTCTGGAATTATTACCTTCTCTTTCTGGCAGACCTGGTGCGCAGCTCCTCCAGCTGATCACTCTCGCTGCAAACAGCACCAGGAGTTAAGACAGATGATAGAGATGGTGGAAGGCCTGGAGATTTGCTATCCAGAGTCATGGAGTCATCACTGAAGAAGTCTGAGGGCAGAACAGATGCCAACTTCGGGGGTATTTGTGTACCAAGCCCGTAGTAAATATCTCCAAGTGTCTTTGGTATAGAATTCATATACCTGCAGTGTCAAAGAGATCACACATCAAACACAAGTCCCCACAAAACTGTCGGTGTTTCAATGCCAAGGTTTGAACTAAACCTTTGTTCTTACATGTCAAAAAAATAAACGAGTATCAACTGGTTTGGTTTTTTTTTTTTACTTGATTATCAGCTGCTTTTTCTTCAATCAAAACATAAATGTAACTAACAGAACATGTCTAAATTTCTGAAAAGGACAAAGATGCAGTAAAACAAAGCTGTAAATTGCTGTTTACTCACAGGTGACATCCAACACAAAGCACAGTCCCCAGTAATATTTAAGTCATACTTAAGAAGAACTTACAATTCTAATATTTCCTCTAGAAACTTGGTAAGATACCCTGGGTCTTCAGTCAGACATAAAATGCGCAGCATATCTGTCACCTGGAAGGGAAAGTCGAGTGGGAAAATGGATTAAGTTGTGACACCAGCAGCACCAAATATTTTAGCAAGGAATATCAAGTGTTAGAGTAAAATCAAAGGAAAACTGCAGGTTCCAGGTCTGCATTTCTAGTGTCATCCAGAAACACAACCTGGTCTATAATTCACTTGCCTCTTCTAATAGCTGCTCCATGTTGTCAGTGCTGCTTTGCAGTGAAGGGCACTGAAGGCACAACTCAAGGCGCAGAAATACCTGGAGTCGGCACCTAGGAAAACAAGCAATTATCCACTGCCTTTTTTTCTGATGGAAACAGCATATTTACTGCAAAATGTGTGCTCAAAAAAGCAACGGGAAGGGAAGTGGCTCCTTTTGACAGCATAATTTAGTTAGCATTTCATTTTGGTGGCAGGGGAGATGCCTCATTTCAGATATCAGCTGCAGTGCTTATCACACAGCATAGGAGTATCTGCATTTAATGAAATGGTTTTACTGTGACCAGAGATTCTCCTTGAAATATTCACCCCATGTAAATACTATTCCACTTGTACCAAGAAGCCACCATTAAAAACTGCTAACCAACTCCACAGTATCTCAGAAGCTGAAGTAAATACAGTGTCTCATACTCTCTGACTTTGGTCTCCTTCTGCAAGTCATGATGTTGTCTGAGCATTTTGCTGGAAATGGTTTTACTGTGACCAGAGATTCTCCTTGAAATATTCACCCCATGTAAATACTATTCCACTTGTACCAAGAAGCCACCATTAAAAACTGCTAACCAACTCCACAGTATCTCAGAAGCTGAAGTAAATACAGTGTCTCATACTCTCTGACTTTGGTCTCCTTCTGCAAGTCATGATGTTGTCTGAGCATTTTGCTGGTGGAGATGGGTTCTCTTTCCACACAGGCCATCTGCAGAAACACATAATTACAGCAAAAACTTCAATTCTGTTCCCTGTCTGCAGGGCAGGTTTCCCCTAGTCAACCTCATGTGCCATTCTTTTGGGAATAGCTCAATATTTTTTCTTTTCCTTCAAGGAAAGGAATTATCTTTTTCTTTCAGTAGCAAAGTCACAATGACATGAGACATAGATCAACTTATAGCTTGAAATCACAGATGTCACATGCTTGCAAGCTTCAGGCCTTCTTCAGTAACAATGGATTTGTCTCAGAGTATTTTTCTTCAATTGTTCACAAGTTTAGCAATTTTGGCTTCAGGCTATTTTAAGTCTACAGATAGTGTTAAAGACTGTAAGAAATAGCTTGAACTATTTCTCTTTCCTGGCAAAGCAGCAGGCCTAGATTTGCCATGTAACACAAAACCAGAAGACACACCTTCTTTAAAATACAGTTTGCCAAAATGCATTTTTTTCAATACTGTCATTCAATAACTGGAATTAGAATTTGGAAGGAGGTCAGTGTAAAGGAAAGACATCTGTTGCAACCTTTAGCAAAGGTGTAAATCAGTAACTGAACTGAATTTCCTATATTCTTTACAGCTAGCCACAGTTTCTCACTATGGAGTTGACACAGATAGAAGCAGTTAGTGACTGTGGTTTTGACTATGTCCAAATGCACATAAAACTTCAGGAGAGGATGAAGGAAAAGCAGCCTGAAACAGTGAAAACTTTAATTTCCACATGAGTAACAAGGCTGCCCACATGCTCTTACCTACCTCTTTCTCTTTGGCATCTTGTATTTTCAAGAACCTTTTAATGGCCATGATCATGTTCTGGGCACATGCAGATGAAGGAATTCCCTCAGCAACAGCCTTCTGGTAGCTCCCAGTCAGGTGGGATTGCAGCTCCTCCTCTGTTTGGAAGTCTGCAAGGAAAATGGTCAAAGTTAACTAAATGCCAGTTCATCACATCTGACTGACGAAATACTCATCCCAGCTGAACAGGGAACAGAGGAGGTCAGCAAAAATATTTTCCCCAGCAAAGATGCATCCAGACCACAGAACGGTAACAAAAGCAGTCCCAGACCCAGACCCATGACATATTACAAGCTTAAATCAAGTTTATAATCAACAATCAAAGTTTCCCTAAGGTCAGCAAACTTTCAGGCTACTGTAGCAGCCAAGAAATGCCCTTTATTTCTGCCTAATTAGTAATTAGAACTATGCTTCCAGTTACAACTTGATGGGTGCATCCCTTTACTACTTTTGTTTTAAAAAAAGGAAATTCATTATTGCCTTTTTTCAGGTGGATACAAGGTAGGAAACTAACCCCAGGAGTAGGGATAACACTAAGTTGTAAACACTTACAGAAACTAACTGGGAGATGGATGGAAAAAAAAACACCCACTCTGTGCCAGATACAGAAACCCAAACATTGATCTGCTCCCTGGCACTGAATACTCACTCCATTATTATCCTTCCATAAAAATCCCATAGGAACTCCTCTATCAGGATATTAGGAGTTAATATGGGATATATCAGGATAGCAAGGTAGCAAGACTTAACACTCACCAACTGATATTTTAAGTGCCTTTTCCTTTCCTTCCACTTTTTCATCCAATCTTTTTGCTGAAAGCTTCTGTGGAACCTTCTCATTCACTGCTGGTGACACACCATCAGGTTGAAACTTCTGAGCCTTTACATTCAGCCTTGCTACATTGAGCATTTGCAGGGATCTGGACATGGTCTTCATCTTCTGCCTGACTGGAGTTCGGGGAACCCCACCTGCAACATCACAAAAAAAAAAATTCAAGTGGAAAACAAGGCCCCAGAGGTTTGTTTTTCTCCATGAAATCATTGTACAGGTAGTGTAGCAGGCAGCTACTTCTCCAAGTAAAAAGCAGGTGAAAACTGCTGCTCTGCATATGAACTTATATAGGTATAATCAGAAGTTACATATCCAGAAAGCAATGTTATGTTACAGAAATAGAAACAGCTGACAGAGCAGGACATGGGGATACATCAGGTTAGGGTATAATCAGCTGTGGTTAGTGAAGGGAAATGCAATGAAGGTCTCCTAGAAGAAAGCATTTTATGTCTCTAATTAGAATAAACCTGAGAGGCTGCAAAATTTACTAGTAGCTGGAGCAGTCCCTGTTTCAACAGCTAGTGAAACTGCAGAGCTCTGCATGCTGCTTCTAAAAGTTTTGTCAGACACTGTGCAGCCTTGAATTACAGTAATTTGGATTCTACTCCAGGATAAACCTAATATTAATATGTAAATGATACTGTTCCTAAACAAACAAAAATCTAAAGCATGCTACTACTCAGCAGAGTACAGATCTCTTGGGCTCATGCATCAGCTTTAATTGGCAACATGCACATATAATCCCAAAGTATACATACATCTTTTTTTGTTATTTCCTGGACCAGCTGCAGATGTTTCACTGAATTTTCTCTGGTACAGCTCAGATAGACTTTCTGAGAGCTCCACATCAGACTGGTCTTCAGCATCCTTCCCATTAGCACAAGGAACCTGCAGCAGTCTGTATGAAAGAGCAAATGAATACACTTATCATTAAAAGATGGGGAGGCACATCTCTTCTTCCCAGTGGACCCAAACAAGGTTTTTCTAGATTCCAATCCACATGCTATTACTCTTCCAACACCTGTTCCCCATAACATTTAAGAGAGGAAAAAAAACCCAAACCACTCTCTTAAAAGGGTCACACCAACCTGGAAGTAAGCATTACATTGAAGTAGAATGGATATGCCACTGGTCTGTACCACAAAACCACATGAGCAGCTTTGTGCTTTTTAAACTATCCTGCATTAGGGGTTTTTATTGTTCACTCAGCAAACTCATTCATTCAAATAAATACCAACTGTGAGTACTATCTTCAGTAGCTTGCAGTGGATTTTATCATACCATAAGAAAAGCTGACATCTCCCAAGTAGCTTAATGTCATTTTAAGTGACCTGTATTACTCCTGAACCTGTCAAGATTTTGATCCACACAAACATCCTGCTCCCAGTTCATTCTGTCTATACGCCAGGAGATAATGAAACACTAGCCCACAGTAAACTGAGTACAGAAATAAAAGCACTAATAGCTGCACTTAGTTCTAGAACTCTGAGCAATGCTACAGACATACTCCCTTAACAGGAAGCGGAAATCCTTGATGATTACCCAGTGACATGTTTCAGAAAAATACCTGAATGACTCCATCAGATCTGAGCTTGCTCCACAAGCATTTGATGCAGGATACCATGCTTCCAGCACTGAAGGATGCCAGCTCCCTGTATGGGACAGTTCCCGTTGGACCCACTCTGGCACTGGAGTTTCTTCTCCTGTCAGCAGACACACACACAGAAAAAAAATATTTAAAAACTAAATTAAGGTCCCAGACTTCAGAGGCTCTAATGCAGAGGTTTCCAAACCTTTGGTCCTGGAGAGGCAATTTAATACCCAATACATCAGACATGGAGACTCATGAGATGATTCACTCTCAAGAGGTGAGCAGCCTCCTTGCAGCCACACCCAAAGGCTTTACTGGCCAGGGATGGCCTGTGTGACACAGTTTTGCAAGTCTCCTTCTACAAACTTGTCCCCAACCACATATAGCTGTGCTTTATCTACAAGATAATGGAAGCAAATGCTCTGGCAATAAAACAGAAAGATACAGGCATGCAGGTTTCTGCATCACATCACTAGGCTTAAGCTACAGATAACAAAATGAACAAGTCCCAAAAATGATAAGACCCCTCACCAAGGAAATTATTATCACTAGATTTTTCCATTCAAAATCAGGTCTAGAGACGATTCAAAGATGGTGAGTTTTGCATTTCCTGACACTTACCCAGACTGGACAAAGAGTCTTCCGCCACCGTGTTGATTTCCCTCAACACACTATTCACAATCTCTGGGAGGGGAAAAGCAGAGTCTTGGGGGGAGTTGTCCACCACAGCTCCTTCAAGGCTGCATCGCTGAACCTCAGCTGCCTTCTCAGCACCAAGCACAGTCAGAACTGCAGTACACTCTGAGAGAGGTGACAGCACAGCAGTGCAGGGGCACCAAGTTTGGGACAGAGAGACCTCAGCAACCTATGTTTAAAAAAAAAAAAAAAACCATGAAAAGTTTACATCAGCTAGAAATACAGAGCCTTAAGGAGCACAGACACTTTATAAACAGGTTATAGACTTTGACAGTCTCCTGAAGAATGTTCTGAATTCAGCTTCGAATGAGCAATTTGCAGTGCAAGAATTAGCACTGTTAACGTCTTTGCAACATGACATGCTGTTACCCCTTCTGTCACAGCTCACCTCAGAATAGGTACTAGTGTAAGGCAAAGAGAAACATTTACCATGTGCAGTTCTTCAGTCACTAGACTCCTCAACAGCTGATGAAACAGTGACCTGTTATGCTCTGCCTGCTCAGCCTGGGAGCTCTGCAGTATCCAGCTCTCCGTGAGGAAGGGGCCAGCCTGTGCCAAGTTCCAACCTGTCAAGCTTCCTTTCAGGACAATGTTGACTGGACACTGCAGTTGTCTCTGGCTCATGGCAAGGGGTTCCAGGATCACAGCACAGCTTTCCTGCTTCTGGTCTCCTGTGCAAGGATAGGATAAAGTAAAATCCCTAACGCAAGTAAAATGGGTTTTCCCCATCTACATGAATAGGCAACTTCAATGCAAACAAGTTTCTGAGATTACACTGTGGCCAGCAGGTCAAAGGAGATGATTCTCCCCTTCTACTCTGCTCTCGTGAGACCCCCACCTGGAATACTGCATGCAATTCTGGTGCCCTAAACATAAGAAGGACATGGAACTGTTGGAGCAAGTCCAGAGGAGGCTATGGAGTTGATAAGAGGACTGGAGCCCTGCCCCTATAAAGACAGGTTAAGGAAGTTGGGGCTGTTCAGCC